TGCAAAATTCAATTATTTTCATAAATAACAATATTCAACACAATAATTCAATTATTTTTAAATTATTTAAAAAAATTCTAACAAAATCGTTCGCAAGAATTCATTTATTTTTATAAATAATAAAATTCTTATCCGGAATTCAATTATTTTTTCTTGGAAATTCAATTCTTTTAAACAATTCTAATAAAATCGTTTGTAAAAATTCAATTATTTTCAAAAAAAATTAAATAAAATGCCACACAGACATTCAATTATTTATTGTCAAAAATTTTAATAGAATTCTTTGTAAAATTTAATTATTTTTAAAAACTTTTCGCAATTTAATGATTTTCAATATCGACTATTTTCATAAAATTTCCAAACAGAATTCAATTATTTAAAAAATTTTTTTAAAATCTTCGTAACAAATTCAATTTTTTTCATGAATAATAAAAATTTCTCAGGAATTCAATTATTTAAATTAGAATTTGCATAAAATTAGTCAAAAAAATGGATTATTTTAACATTTTTATAAAATTCTTTGCAAGAATTGATAAATTATTTTAAAAAGTTCTTCTCAAGAATTGAATTATTTTTATAAATATTTAAATTTTTTCATGAATAATAAAATTCATTGCAGGAATTCAATTTATTGTTAGGATTAGTAAGAAGTAAATATTTTTGATGTAAATTAGGAAAAAGTCAGGAAAATAAAAAATATGGGATGGAATTTTTGTCAGTTTTGTGAAGTGTCTAAAACGAGTTTTTTTGGTCGTCAAGTTTAATTTTTCGATAGCTACCATTTTACTACTTTTTTTTTAGTTTAAAAGCTACTTTTTGCTACTTTTTACTACTTTTTGAAAATTAATTATCGAATGCGAAGTCTGTTATTACCATCATTGTAAAATCGGCCTGATAGTTCCGAACGCTTCCACTGGGGATTCCCCTAACAAATTGAAAATAACTCAATCGGAATAGACCGAAACAGAATATAAACTCTAAATTTTTTTTATAAAGATTAAAGGTTTTATTCTGCTAGGTCTATTGCTAGTTTTCAATTTTTTTTTAAATTCCTAAAGCTGCTTCTACAACTTTTTTTTCATCGACATTTTGTAGAAGCAGCATAAAGACGAAAATCGAGAAAATTTCCTCTGACAAAATAGAGAAGTTGATAAATAATAGTCCCCAACTTTCCAAGGCAAAATTGAGGAAAATTTCATCTAGCAAGGTTGGGCAGTTGACAAAAAGAATGAGTCGCTTGACAAGTGACGCATTAGTGAAGTTACTGGAAATTACTGTGAAGAACAACAGGGATGGGTAACTTAAAACTTGACATGTGTGGACCAAAACCTCTCTATTCTTGTCCTACACACACGCTGAGTGCGCCTTTTGACAAGGACAGAAAAGTGTAAGCATACCTTCCTGACCAAGATTGTACTTTCAAAGCAGAACCAATTAAATTCGTTTGCCATGTAAATGTCACATAAGAAACTGATGGCAGTACTCCGATAAGGTTATATCTTCTTAATTTTTTTTTCTTTTTGCAAAAAATCTCCAACGAACATAAGCCTTATAAAAAATTACAGTTAATAATAAAAAAAACAAGAAGAAAAAAAGAATGAGCCTGTCCTTTGTCAAAAATACGTATTCTGATGTGTCCAGTTCAGGGAGAAATTCATTTTATGTTTGCGTGAAGAATATGCCCTGATTCAGTCTCTGCGATTGTGAAGATAGCAGGGGCTATATAATTTCGAGCGTTTAAAGTGTCGAGTCCACCTCTTGCACAACAAAGTACGAGTTGAAGACGAGCGAATTACTGGTGCTTGATTGGAATATCCCATTTCTATCGGACATGATTTTCAAGACATGAATCTCGAGGCTTACGTGTTGAAGAAAGAATAAGAGTACTGTCTTGTTTTTTGTAAAGAGAGACAGACAATGAAGAAAGAGAATAGCATGTGATTTCCTCGGGCTTTTTAATCATTATAAATAATAAGTTATCGGCTGTGTAAGAGCGGCGGTTACTGGATGCCTCGCTGGGAGGCAGAGAGGAACGCATATGGGGTTTGGGAGAGGGACGGGAATATAATCTGCGCATGGACAACCGTATCACGCAGCGGTAGCTGCGGAGGCTCCCTCTTAGCCTACAATCTGTCTTACATATTCATTATGGCTGCGGGGCGAACGGGCATTATCTCAGATAGTCGGTTTCGTACAACGGATAGCTTGTAATTTTCATTGGTCCTCGTCTCTCTTTCTCTTTGTTCCCCCTCTCTCTCTCTCTCTCTCTCTCTCTAATCGCAATAATACTATGAAACAATCATGACACAAATTTTACAAATGATTATACAAAGAATTTTCCACTTCTCCATTAAGCTTCTTTCTTTCAGTTGCCTTTAATCCACTTTTCCTTCGACCACTTCTACATTTAAGGAAATCTCGGAAACCTCTACTGATTCGAACTTGTGAAAGCATTTAAAAATACTGATTTTACGGATAGGACCAAAAATTAAATTTCAGGGGGTTCCCTACTATAGCGGGAAATTCAAATCTAAAATTGATTTCTCTCTCTAAAGAATTCGGATCAAGATAGCACTGCAACTTGAGTTTTCCGTAACGATTGGCCGCTGTTCGAAAAATCGATTGTTCGACCCAGAGAAGGCGCCGCTTTAAATTCCAGGAATTCCCCTATCGTCAAACGCACCTTGTCTCCTATATAGGTAAAATCCTCGAGAGTGAATTAAAAAAAATTCTCGCGCCGATTACCCACTTGAAGTTTTGCGATTTTATCAGAGAAACGCTGTCGTCGTGCCGTGAATTCATAGTGCATGTGCGACACACTATCAACGGCGGCAACTCTTAAAGGTATCTTTTCATGGGTCAACAATTGACAAACAAGCAACTGGTCTCTAAGGACAAGATGAGAGTCTATACTATCTCCTGCATTCACGCAGTTTACTATACTTGACGTTCCAACAGTGGGGCAGAATGCATAAAAAGTTGGCAAAAAATGAAAAATTCAATTCCAACTTTTAATTATATTATTTCAATAAATAATAAGTCAAAGTTTGATGAAATATAATTTTTAGTTCTTTTTAACTGACGATTTTCATAGAAACATGTTTTAAAGTCGACCTATTTTCAACGGTTATGTTCGAGCTTTTTGTTTGTTTATGAAGGTATGATTTGTAACCTGATTAAAACATATACTCTCTAAAACTGAATCAGTGAAAATTCACTTATTGAAAGTGAATATTCACTTATTTCAAACGTTATAAGTCGTCCTCTCTGAATTAGTGAATATTCACACATTACATGAGTGAAAAACAGTTCACTTATAAAATAAGTGCAAGATTCACTTTTAAATAAGTGAACTGTTTTATGTAGAAAAATTAGCAATCCTGTAACACAAATAATGACAATATTGTTTCAAAACAATAAACTGTATATCTGTAAACTCTTTATAAATTTTTCAATATAACATATAATATAAAATATGGAAACTGTGGAGCTAACAATGTTACATTTACTAGTCAAAAAGTATAAAATAAAAGTTTTTTTAAAGAAAGCATAAAATATAACCTCAAACTTATAGAGACATGAAAAACTGTGTATACGTAGACATTTACAGATGAAATATCCTTATCATTTAATTAAATTGTAGGTGCAAATAATTTATATTTTTTTAATAGTATACTTATACTAATATAAAAATGTTTATAATTACGTATATTTATTCATTCGAAAACCGGTAAACTTTTCGACGCACAGACGCTCAGAATGACGCAATGTGAAACAATGACGCCAAGTGACACTGACAAACGAATAAGTGAAAAAATCACTTATTTATGAGTGAAAAATCAATTTAACTTATTAAATGTAAAAATTTTACTTATTGATGAGTAACAAATAAATTTAACATATTATATGTGAAAATTTAACTTATTTATAAGTGAGAAATTCGTCCACTTACGAAAAAAGTGAAATTTTCACTGATTCAGTTTTAGAGAGTACAACGTCACAGATTTTGAATTATTTACCATGGAATCTTCAAATTCAGGTATTTAAGTATAACATAGAATAGATAAAATCTTATTTTATAATATTTTAATTATTCAAATTCTTTAAAAAAAAACGAGCTATTGAGGGTACAGTCAGACCTCCGCATGCAAAATTTATGCATGTAGGTTGCCATCGTAACGTACAAGAGTGAGAGAGATAGGAAATTTTTATATCTCTCTCACTCTTGAACGCTTCCATGGCAACCTGCATGCATAAGTTTTGCATGCAGAGGTCTGAACGCTCCCTGAAATTCAAAAATTAAAAAAATTTAACAAATTAACACAATTTTTTAAAAACGGACGTTTGTTTTCTTATTTCATTACGCACATGCGTCCGCCATTTTGAATTTTCAAAATCTGATATCAGATTTGTAATCAGCGACCCTGAAAACCCCTGAGTAACAAGTTTCAAGTGAATCCGATGAATTTTTGAAAATGTCGTCCGCTGTATTGGATCCGCCATTTTGAATTTTTAAAATCTGAAAATGGATTTGTAATCAGCGATCCCGAAAACCCCCGAGTATAAATTTGTGGACAAATCTGTGTGTTTTTGTAGCCAAAAATCAGCAAGGCGTCTATACACGTCATCGACAGTTTGAGCCCACCTGCACCATGACGTGTATACACGTCATCGACTGCCAAGGGGTTAATATTAATACCAGCTTCGTTGATCAGCATGCTAAAATAATTTTTGAATCACATTCACATGAAATCCTATTATCGAATTTTATATTTTTAGAGGTTTATCTAGTGTCAACACCGTCAACACACTACCTGAAAATTTCAAATTTTTGTTTATTTTTATGTTATCTATATAATTGGAAAATAAACATTGGACGTAAATTTCAGAAAAACTTATCCCATTTGCTAGTCAATATTAATTTTTAGTTGGTTTACGTCAAAAAAAACATGTTTATAAAGTAGTTTCGACACTTATACAAATAAAATAATGTATAACGTGAGGTATATATAGAGCAGCATTTAACCATTAACTTGAGAATATCGCCGAATACAATTAAATTAATTTCGAAAAATCGAGGCACGAATTGAAAAACTACAACATCTAAAATGAAACTCCGTAAGTCACTTTTCATCTAACTATTTATCATATAATTCAAAAAGATGATTTAATATATATTCTACTCTGAGAAAATTTATTCCTACTATTTTACTGAATTTTGTTAGGTAAATTTATCGATATATTTCTATATTTACTAAATAGTTTCGTAAAACTTGAAAATCAAATTAAAACCTGCTTTAGTCATTACCTAAATCGCTACAATTTTACACAAATATATACAAATTGAAAATAAATTTGGTTTATAGAAAATTTAAACTGTTCTTACATATTAATCTGAATTTTATTTCTCCGCTTGTGAGAGAGATTTATAAAATATTTTCATATTAGGATTTTCTTATTATAAAGGATATTTATTCGAATAAAATATAATAAAAATATAATTATTTATTAAAATTATTTTCAAATTTTTATATTAAAATTTAAAAGCATACTTATTTTTAACCAATATTGTTAAATATTTAAATACCGTGCTGTTTCTGAAATATAAGTGCCCAGCAAGGAAGTATTTAAAATAAATATTAATTTCTATTTTATTCATATTAAACATTCATTTTTAATTGTTTTGTATTAGTCAACTTACAAATGCGTATTTTAAATTAGAAACTCATGAAAAAATAACAAAAATAGGACAATTTTCCAAGTATAAGGAATAAACTTTCTGTATAATTACCCAAGCACAAGATCTTCCGAAAGATTACAGTGGAATCTTTATAATCTTTCTTTGAAAGTTTAAAGGAAGCTTCTTTGAAACTCAAAATGTCCGTTTATAAAGAAGCTTCCATTTGAACCTTTTAAGGATAGCCTACTCCTTTCTGCAAGCTTCCAGAAAGATCTTGTGCTGTCTGGGTATTTATTATTCTGACAATTATCATAAAGCTCTTGATTTTAAATGTTATTCTTCTTTTTCTAGATTTACTTACCTTTATTCTGATAGGTTATCTGAGTAATTTAGATAATGTTAATTCAATGTTTATGGAGTCCTTGAAATCATTCTCTCTCAACTTATACAGGGTAAATTTAAGAATCTTAAACAAAACTATTTAAAGAATTCTATTTTATTCACATTTGCATTTTATGGTTTTTAAGGAAATAGCAAAAAAAGAATCAGGAAATGTTTTAGTATCTCCCTTGAGTGCAAACTTAGCTCTAAGTATGGTTGTACCCGGAGCTAGAGGAAACACAAGAAGAGAATTACTCAAAGCTCTCTATTTAGAAGATCACGATGTACAGATCCAATATGATTATAGTAGTCTTTACTATACGCTGACTGTAAGGAGAAATTATTCTTTTTCTATTATTTATTTTTATTATTATGAACTTATTATACATTTATACTAAGAGTATTGCGGACAACTGTAATAATAAATTATGGTATTTTTTAGAATGTCAGTATAGGTCATTCTCTAAATTTGAATGAGTAAAAATGTTTACTAATTTGAATTAGTGACTGACGTTTTGCTTTTGAATTAGTAAACTTTACTAATAAATTAGTAGAAATTACTATTCAGTAGTAAAATTTACTAATTCAAAAGCAAAAAGTCAGTCACTAATTCAAATTAGTAAACATTTTTACTAATTCAAATTTAGAGAGCAGAACTTATTGTTATGAATAAAGTGTATCTTAGTACCAGACACAGAGTTAAACTAGCATTTAAAAATGTATTACAATTGTACATACATGCAGAAGGAGAACTAGTAGATTTTTCTAATGCACCACAAGCAGCACAGGAAATCAACACATGTGTGTCAAGAGAAACAAATGGCAAAATCAACAAAATTCTGAGTGCCGGTTCGTAATGTTTAAAAAAATTTCAAACATGCAACAGAAATATTTCCAACTTGTATAATTAATAATGCTTCAGACATTATTGTTCAAAAATAATCTTCAATTTAGTTTTTGTAATTTACTTTTAATGCTGTATTTTTAAAATTTCTTTGTTTAAATTTACATCATTTTTCTTATTTTCAGACGATTTGGATCCAAATACTGATTTGGTTCTCACTAATGTTGTTTACTTTAAAGGCCAATGGCAATACAAATTCGAAGATTTTAATTATCTCTACTTTAATAGTGCTGACGGACAGCGTACTTTAGTACCAGGAATGGAACAAGAAGTCAACATATCTTATGCAGATGTTCCTGCAATAGGCGCACGTTTTGTGGAATTGCCATATAAGGTAAGAAATAATGTTTTCTTTATAAAAAGTAAGTCACAAATGTTAACGGCCTTTGTTAATTTTTATTTCTTTTACAGGGCAGTAGTAATATTATAATGCAAATCGTACTCCCCAACAAAGATGTGAGTCTTGAAGAAGTTGAAACAAAATTAGAAGCAATGACACTCCCAAACTTGAGAAATAGAGGATCTTCAAAAAAAGTTTTGATTTACATGCCCAAGTTTAAATTTGAAAAAACCATTGAATTGATACCTATTCTAAAAGAGGTTTGTTTTACTTCGTTTTAAAAACTATTTTTAAATTTTTGAAACTTGTTAATCGATTCAAAAATTAATTGTATTTAATAAAATATAATTAGGAAATAAAGATAACTTTTTTGAATATAGATGGGTGTTCAAGAATTATTCAGCGATAAATCGGATTTAAGTGGAATTTCACAGCAGTCGCTTAAGGTGGACAGAATTAAGCAAAAAGTTGTAATAGAAGTCAACAAAAAAGGCTCTGAAGCTGCAGCAGTTACTTGTAAGCATTAAAAATGATACAGTAATTACCGTTGTACATTGTAAACGTAAACTCGATTAAAATGTTTTTTTGAGCCACTCAACATAGTTACACTTGCTATACTCAATTTTCACAAACCAAAATTGAAACGTGCGGTTTGTTTACGTTTCATATATTCTCTTATCGAATGAAAATAATTAATCTTTTTTTTTGTTATTCATTACAGCTGCTTTATTTAGCGCCAGATCTTTAAGTGGAAGAATCGATGATAAACAAATAACCTTTATTGTTCAACGTCCATTCCATTTCAAAATTATCAAAGCAGGAGTTGATGGCGACGGTATTGTTTTGTTCTCTGGAAACTACAAAAGACCAGAATAATCTTGTTTACTATATTAAAGTAAATAAATGAAAATAATAATATTTTTCTGCTGTTACTTAATTTTTCTGCTTCTAAAAGAGCATTACGATATGTATGTACATTATGTATGTATGACTTTAAATATTCTTTATAATTGGTCGAAAAATTGTCATGACTTTTTCTTGATTCGATGAAATGTATTCGTGTTCGCTACATTTATATAATTACTGAATAGTTCGGTAAAAAAAATAATTTAAAAATTATTAAAAATTACCATTATGCTACTATATTCTAACTTTACTGAAAAATTCGGTAAACTATATAGGGAACAAATTTTCTCCGTGTATAAGATAGAGAAGAATAGATAATATCTCTTTCTTAGGGTACTTCTGCAATAACTTTTTTCAACACTGAAGAAAACTGTCGCAATGTTCTTGAACAATGGAAAATTGTTATTGTAGATCTAGCCTAAATGTCTAAGAACAAGAAATTAGCATAATTAGAGCACTAAAAAGGAGAAAGATCCTTATTTTCCGGAATAAAACGTAAAAATCAACAATATTCAAATTAAAAAAAAGTAGTCCTAAAAAAGTCACTGAAATATTGCGAGGAATTAAAATTAGTTTTCGCTTTTAACAAGTTATGATAAATTATCATTGATTTCCGTCTTGTTAGGCACATGATGGGCGGGGATTCGTGTACATATATAAATGAAATTTAATACACATGTACATAAAATTTAATATACATGAGCATCGCACAATTACCAGGCACAAAGTTATTAAGTTTAATATACATGTAAATTACATTTCAATGGCAATTGTAGGTTAGGTTACAGTAGCTCTAATGCATAAAATTTCTTTCAAAGTTGTTTGTTTTTCTTTCGATTTATTTAGAAGGTTAATTATTTTGTTATGAGATGAGAGGTAAGATACAAAATGTCAATATTCTATATTTTAAAAGTCAAGATTTAGAATTAATAAATAAAAATTTAATAGACATCTATTTTTGTCATGTTCTTATAATCATGACAAAAATAGATGTCTATTAAATTTTTATTGTAAATAATGTAATTTTTAATGTAATTTTTATTGCCTGATTGTAAGTAAAATGAAGTCTTAATGTCTTAAATCGTTAACTTTTATATGAGAGAAAAAAGGGTAGAAGTTTCTTTTGTCTTTTTCTCTCTCAAGTAAAAATTAAAGGTTTTATTCTGCTTAGGCCTAAAATAAATGACTGACAGTGGTAGATTGTGGTACCACTCTATTAGAGATTTGGTAAGCAGATACTGAAGTTGTGATCTAGATGGCGCAACTTACTAAAGTAATTTTTGAATAGTGGCCACCTTGGAGCTCCTTAACCTACAAAAAATCAGATGAAAATTTTTTTCGCACTAAAATCAAATTTATCTTCAATCCAATAAATAGAATTTTTAATTTCATAAATGAAAAATCTAAAATTAAAAGATAAAATATTTTTTTGCTTTCAGTGCACGGGTAGTCGTAAATACTGGTACGACTGTGAAGGAGAGAAATGGATGGAATGGAAAAACCAGATTGAAGATAAGAGACATAGAGGAATGGTAATACTAGAAAATAACAATATCGTTAAAAGGAATACGATTATTGTAGATTGAAGACTGATAGAATTGGGTCGGTTGAAATGGAATAAAAACTAATGACTCTGAGAGAAAATCTTCAGTGTATGGAAATATAAAAAAATTTTTTTTATTCTTATTAGCAATATAATGTGGCGTAGGCAATATAAGATTATTGATGTCGATTGGAATGGAAATATAGGATTATTTCGTTCAACACGCAACTACAATATTTGATAAGACAAAGTTTCTTCAATCATAAAATTAATAACAATAATTATAAAAATTCTATTAATATATTCAAAGCAGGAACAAGGATAAAAAAAAATTTGTCATCCTGTTCCATTAATGTACAGTAATAATATTTTTTATGCCATATAATTTTCTCCTATTTTTTTCTCCTTTAACTACAGGTATTATAACTATTAAAAAGAACTTTGTAATGCGAACAACCCTTATTTATTTATTTAAATACTTTAGGGGCATAAACAAAGAATAATAAATTCTAAAGAATTATTATTATTTATTATTCTAAAGAATAATAAATTAAAGAGAGGAAAGATTTCTGGAGAAGCAATAAGTTTTGGCAAATAATATCAATAATAATTAATTGAGAGAAACAAACGTGACGCACGTGTGTAAAAAAAAGGGGAAATCAAAAGAGCCAAAGTGGGCCCCACTCGGTAATTTGCAGTTGTGTAGATTGTAAAAGGTGGCCCCCTCTGGTAGAAGCTACGGTCAGTAGATGCCCTCGAGGGCTCGTCCGACGGCATTCCGGACCTTTTCATTCTTCTTATCGGACCTCCTTTCACCCCCTTTTCATCTCCCTTCTTTTCTTTTCGATCGTCCATTCTCTTTCGTGATCGATAAACGCACTTGAGTTTTTACCCCCTCCCAGTGGTTAGTAGACGGACCCACCAAAAACTCGAGTGTCCACCGGTCCCAATTTTAGCCCCAAAAGGATGTTTAAACACCGAGCCTCTGTCACCTACCGCGTCAGGATTTTACTTCAGACTTCTTTTGGATCCCTTTTATCATCCGCACCACACAGAAAAAACTGTAATCGATCTCGAATCATTCTATGTGTGTTTGTCTCCCCAAAATATAATTTTAAAAAAAGTGGGAAAATTAAAAGAATACCGTCAATATTAAGCATCGGCTCCTCAATTATTTTAAAATTCAAAAATATTCGAACAGTTTTTTTTATTATTAACTTTGATGAATACCAAAAATAGTCATTTCATCAGGCAATTACCCAACATTATGTCAGTTGTTCGAGTTTGAAATAGAAAACCCTTTTAAAGTTATATCCAATTATTGTAATTAGTGGAGGTTGGACATTTTTTTTTTGCAGCGAATAAAAATCTTATTATATACTAGTTTCTTTTTTTGTTGATGACTTTTGCGGTCTTGTTATGTGTCAATGTGGGATCAGTGCGCGAGGGATAATAATCGATCGACATGAGTCTAACTTGAGACTGCGATGAAACACTAGTTGACAGAAATGAGAGGGAGAAAGCTGCAGGCGTCGTCGTGCGCCGTTTCAACAAGTTGCAACTATAATCCAATCGCTAAACGAGTATTTAAGCAACTATCAATCAATCCAAAGTCTACCGCGAAACACACCCAAAGTATTCCTCATTACATGCTTATAAAGAATCATCATCATCATCATCATCATCTTTCTTCTTCCTTTATTAACCTACTACTCATTTATTTCTCTAGAAGGAGTAAAATAACTTTTAGTACAATGTCATTTTTATTTACCAAGTATGTCGTTCTAACCTCAAAATACTTTCTTTCTTCATTTATATTACTGAAGAAAGAACTGCTCTCTTTCTTCAGTTATATTAGTGAAGAAAGAACTATTATATTACTGAAAAAAGAACTGCTTTCTTCAGTTATATTACTGAAGAAATAACTGCTCTCTTTCTTCAGTTATATTACTGAAGAAAGAACTGTTATATTAGTGAAGAAAGAACTGCTTTCTTTCTTCAGTTATATTACTGAAGACTGAATACTAAACTGACATATTAGTGAAGAAAGAACTATTATATATTACTGAAGAAGGAACTGCTTTCTTCAGTTATATTACTGAAGAAAGAACTGTTATATTAGTGAAGTAGTAAACTAACCCTCCTTGCTCATATTCAAATGCATGCTACTAAAAATTTTTCCAAAAATGACAATCGTATATTGATGGGTATTATTTTTCTTTTATCTCCGCGCAACTCTATAAGAATAATGGAGTAAACGCGGATGCGAGAGTATATACACGTGAATAATGGAGTCTGATACTGGTTGGTTGAACATGAAGGAGAATTACGCATGGTAATAAGGTAATGCCATAAATCGTAATAGACGAGATTCGTTCTCTCTATACTCCGTATATAATACGTTATACTATGATACATCGAAGATGTTGCTCTCGAGCGAGATACGACCTTGCATGGTCGTAGTGTGGCTGCAAAGAAAAACAAGTCAAAAAAAAAGAAGGGAGAAAAAGCAATATAAGTATGAGAGAAATCATGTAGGTGTTAACATGTACTCTCGTTCATTCCCGTTCGATGCCAAGCCGCGCCAACACTACCACCACCACCACATCAGGTCTGGATAGGTCAAGGAATATCTCTCCACTGATAGGCAAAGTAATTCCTGTCCTGTAACAGTTTTTTTTTCTAATGTTTTACTTATTGTTTTCCACTCTTTTATACTTTTGAATCACAGTCTTTCTGTTGCGAGGCAACACTTTTGATTCTTTTTCTTTCTCAATTTGATATCCTCAGAAAAAATTTGATAGTGAAACCTAAAACTAGAAAAAGTATTCCATTCCTTATGAGAGGTTCAAATTTAAAAAAAAAATGTTTTGTATAGTTTGTGAACGACCCCTAAGCTTATCTGTTGCTATGGCAATCAACAAGAGTGAGAGTGACAGAGAATAGCTCTCTCTCTCTCGCTCCCGCATGTCACCATAGCAACGCGCATGCGCCTGACAAGTTAACCTCTACTACACAGAACAGGTGAACTACTTTTATACAATTCTTCTAATTTTTCTTTCTTACGCGTATGAGACATTCTAATTTTCCAATTACACTGGGAAATTGCAATTAAAAAACAGTAATTAAAATTTCCAGGAGTAATTAAAATCATAATTACGAAACATTAGTGTATGACAAGGGAAAAAAGAAGTAGATTCGCGAAAACAATGAGGAATGATAAATTGAAATTATTATCAAAAGCATAATATACGATCAATCTTGTAAAGTGGAGGGAATTTTTAATTCATCAAACACGAGCCATTAAAACAGCTTGATCATCTAATTATCTGTTGCGATCGTTACCTCATCAAGAATTTCTTTGCCGTTCGCCCGAGGTGTAATGAAAGTTTATAGCTTGTTGATTTAAGGGGACAGAGATCGATCTGGCGCAGCCGGGCGACTCCGCGGGTAACAAATGAAGAAGGGCAGGTGCACTCGATCGTTGCAATCGGAACGTACGTGTATTTACACACACACACACAAAAATATGCAACTTAAAATACGTAATTTTTTTCCCTCTCAACATTTTTTTTAAAACCTGTAATATCACGACTTTATATCCCTTATTTTACGTTTAAATTTTCGTTGAACCTCGGGGCGAAAACATAACTTTTTTGTTTTGGATTTAAATTTTAATAATGAGTTACCGTTTGTGTCTTATGATTATATGAGAGAGAGAGAGACACTATCGGGGGAGAATCGCGCACTCTGCCCACTACTCACTTAAGAATGTGACTCACCGAGACCCTCTTAGCGCCATTAGCAGCAACTTTTAGCCATTGGCTTGAGAATCTGATCGTTTTGTAACTGTTCAATTAGGAAAGAATAGAATTTCTTTATTTTGTCCGAGGACAACAATTGATTTACAACAAATCATATTGCCGCGGCAGCAGTATAACAAAAAACGAATTCTTATATTGTTCAGTTCGACAAAGAAGTATCCTAAGGATATTAGGACTCCTTAGTTCTCTGGAAGTAACGAAAAGTAACACCCAAGTTTTTAACAGATAATACACAAGGAATAACTGTTTTATTTATTTTAATTGAAGGGCATGTATCCAAATTCAAACAATTTTTATTCCAAGAAGAACCAATAACACGCGTAGAATTTTTTTTTTTATAATACTTTACTTTACAAAAAATACTTAAAAGATAATAATTTAGCATATTTTGAAAAGTACTGCCAAGGAGAAAAATAAAAAAGAAGAATTACATACTGACATTTATGTGAGAGGTTGATATGTAGTGGCTACAATGTATATAGCATATAGAGGAATCTTCACGAACCTGATCGTTTAAGCGCTATCAAACAAAACAGTTGAGTTTCACCGTCAAGCTGTCAGTCTGACATTCTAGAATGTTACAATATGTATCGTGCAGTAATCGGTTTAGTCTCATCTAATACAGGTGTATCTTGTATCGCTGCAGAGTAGCGCCAACATGCACCGCACTCACGAAAAAAAACGCTTAGTCACGAACGTCAAACTCAACAGAAGTTGTTTCCCTTGAGCTATCGTCTCTGCCTTATGCATCACAATTATTTTTAATAGATACACTTATTTTGACGATTACTCTGATAATTTAATAAAATTTCAATATTAAAAAATATAAAATGTGCCGACATACCCTAAAATTTATTTCAAAAAATCACAACTGTTACCCGGACTTGTATTTTTAGCCTCTTCAAAAACATCTTATTCATTTTTTGAATAACTATTTGATACTATAAATTAAAATACTTGTCTAGTAAATTTTATCAAATAAGTACAGTAAATATTTACTTAGTTCAAATAAATATTCAACCTTTAGAGGGCAGGTAAATCTGCACAAATTTTAGTAGCTTTTTATTAAAAAAAAAAATTATAAATAAGAAGTCAGTTCGATAAAAAAATTCGTTAAAATAATTCCTGGTCACTATAGTGGCCACCCCGGTTCTCTAAAGACCGGATAATAGACCATTTAACCGAATCAAATAATTTTTATTTAATCCAATTTTTTTTTCCCCGTGTAATTATTATTTTGAAATACAAAAGAGCAAGAAATTATATAAATTAATTACGTCTATTTGAAAGGAGCGAAAAACTGAAGGAGCAAGAAAAGAATGAAAAGCAC